AAATTTCAGTAAATACCGTCTATCAAACAAATATTTAACAAATGCGTCTTAGATAATTAGTATGTCAAATATATGGAAACAGCTAGTTCAAAATTTGAATAATGTAACATTCACTTAATTAAAAAATGTCAAACTGACTTTTCATTTATTTTTACTCGACCTTTTACTGAGAATAGAAAGGCTACATTTTTTGTAAATGTAAAACATAAATTTCACCCACAGTTCAATACATTCCTGATTTGACGGAAACATAACAATTTAAGAAAAGTTTAATTTCAGCATTTCATCGTGTAAATCTATCCATTACTGTATGTCCTTAAAATTGGTTAAAACAAAACAAAATAGCTGATTCTGTCCGCTCTCATAAATGATACAGACACAGATATGTTTATTGCTCCCTTGATGGTATCCACAAATGAAATTCCTGAATGAAACAAAGCCTTAAGTACTGTCTCAGTCAAAAACGATGACTTCCAATTAAACAATATGATTTATATACAAAACTCTGTAAATGCCAATAAAGCAGTAATTGCACTAAAGACATAAGTGCTTTTATATAGAAAGAAAAGGTAGGTAGTTTAATGAAACAACAAGGAAAGTAATATCGGATGGAACTTTCCTCAGATCATATCGTATGTCATGCTTCCAGTTTGAACTTGAATAAAGTAGCTTTGAACAGTATGTACATGTATTCACTGCCATCTATAAATAGAATTAATCCGTGTATTTGACCTGTTTTTTTTTAAATCAGTGTAGAAAGACATATTTCTAGTTCTATGTAAATTGCCACAACTAAATGTACAAAACAATTATCAATATAGAGGTCGTATATAACGGTTATAACAAATCCTGATATTATTGTCTTTGAGCATTCCGCCTTTACTGCACTTAAAAAAGGACAGTTCGTTTGTTTTTATTTACAAAAACATATTCTACCTATGTATTCTTATATTGCAACTTCCAACTAAAATGTGATTTCAAAGAATATGACAACACCAGAATAAAAATTCAATGTAGCTTTCACTTCTGATTAACTCTGATAAAAATTATAATAGTTTACCCTTTTAATAGGAGTGATCCCAATATGCCACCAGCGCATTGTGCTATAGTGTACAGTAGAGCACGTGAAGGTGTGATCTCCATTGCAACCGCCATCGCGATAGAAACTGCAGGATTCATATGACCTCCTGACACGTGGCCAAACATCTGGATACATACGGCTATCATGAGTCCAAATGTGAAAGCAATCTGAAATTTGGTGCACATTTAAATATATTGATTTTTAATATGTCTAAGTACCACAGAACAGAAACAAAGTTTCATATTTATATAAAATGATATTATGAAGAAATCTAGAGAAAAAAGGAAATGAATAAGCTTTAGGCTTAATGACTTCTAGCAACCTTAAATACGAAATATTTTGTAAGCTACGTTTACACTTGTCATAAATAAATTGCGCTGTGGAATGTTGGCAACTTTGTCTCAATATCCAAATTTTGTAAGGTTGTGCTAAGTTTCATCACGGTTAATCATAGTATTCTTGATTAAAGAGGTGAACTCTTCAATTATCATTTAGGTTCAAACTGCGTTCTACTTAGTGCATGAATGTTGCTCCCAGGTCTGATGCGTCCTGATTTGATGCCGCACGTTGTTCAAGTCTTATCCGGGTCTGAAACGTTTTATGTTCAGTAAAGGAATCCAACAGATCAATTGAAGACGCCGGAAAACTTTGGAGAACGTTTGTATATACAGAATAAGAAAACCCCTTAATGTCCGTTAGTCATTAAAATTGTATAACAAAAGACAACGTAGATTGCTTTCTTGTTTGTTTGCTATGTGTTCTTTGCGCCAGCCGCCGCGCAGTCTGATAGGATCCATGCTGTTCGCTTACAAATCCTATTACAAGTAGAGAAACTGAATCAGACAGCGCGAAGGCGCAGGCTGGTCTGGATCCATGCTGGTCGCAAACCCACTATGTTGGTTTTGTCATGGCACGGCTAATATGTTTCTGCATAGAATAACAAACTCTAGTGTATTTTAAGGCTTTCTAAATAAACGGGTTTAGCGTCGTTATAAAAGAAGTGTTTGAGATAATTGGCACAATACAATATTTCTAGTTTTTATTTGATATAATATTCGTTTTGAAAAATGCGCAGTTATATTGTGTTAGGGTGAAATGACTTAACTTAATAAAGGATTGTCAATTTTAATCAACATGCTTATAGTTGTGGTAAAAATATGGTATTCCATTTTCTGGTTATTTCATATAATATGCGTTTTGAACAATGCGCAGTTATGTAGTGCTAGAGCGAAATGACTAAACTGAATAAACTATTGCCAATTTAAATCAACATGCTAATAGTGGAAAGATTTTGAGAACAGGTCTTCTTAAATCAATAACTAGACGAATAGATTCTCTCGTTACCTAGTGATGAAGCGTCGCTTCCTATTCTGTATTACTATTTGAGTTTTATCATTTTTTAGAAAACCAAACTTTAAATAAAAATTGATTTATTAATACGGTAATGCACAATTGTACAAATTATTTGTTGCTGGGAATAATATAATAGTATCTTAGATGACATAAAAATGGACAGGTCCATAATGTTTATAGTTCATGTAATACGTATCATTGGTGAGAACAAAGCACAAAAGAATGATTTAGATGCTGTCTATAAGTGTGAAATACATTATCTGTAATCAGCAGCTTATAAATTATACTAAAACAATTAATTATGATTCGTAATAGTAATTCGTTAGATAATCTGTCAGCATTTTTGACAAGCAGTATTTCATAAAAATATCCAAATAAATCATTTCTATTGTACAGTTTCTCTTATATTTGAATTAGAGTGTACCCTCTGCAGGTAAAGCAATGTCCTGTTTAGAACAAACTATAACCACCCCATGAAATTAAAAAAAAAACAAAAACAAAAAAAAAATCATCTCTATAGCAACACATTTTAGCAACAATCAAAATATTTGCATTCTAAAGGAAGTTGCTTTCCAGGGTTTGAATAATACCTACGGAAAATGAACCCATTATAGACCAACAAAGATTTAGATTTTATCCTGTAAGATGAATGGGCGCATGTAAAAAGAATTCCAATTATTGATGATGGAACGTATTCTGGTAAAGTTTGGTAGAACATTTGATAGTTCGTCTAATAATCAGAAAAGTTAAACAGCGCTCTATTCATAAGTAAACATATTGTGTTATGTGTTTATTAACGATAAAAGACTTCCCCTGGTCATAAGTCGAAATCTTTATCAAATATGATAAACAAGATCAACAAGGAATGGCGGCTATCAATAAACGCACCCCCCCCGTCCGACCCAGTAACAAGTGTCAGCGGCAGGAGCCCAGGAGAACCCCAAACAGAAACAGGACATGGCACAAAGCAGAGCATGGGCAGGTTAAACACAAGAAGAAATGATTAGTAACTGATAAGAACTCAAAGAAAAAAGCCACGAAAATAAGCGATTGTCGACCCCAATACTATCCCCCCTAAAACCCCTTAAAACTACCGAAAAACAAATTAAAAAAAAAAACAACCCAACACCGAAAAAGCTATATTTTGTTGTCTAAACTACATATGAAACAATAAGTTATAAATTGGGTCATTTAATTAACGTAGATGTTTAAATTATGATAAAAATTCAAATTTACATATTTTTTCATGATCAATATTCTTACCTTAACAATTTTGGACGAATCGTCGACAACTGGAACCATCTCGACCGCTGACATTGTCGCAATAAATACAAACAAAAACGTAGCTATAAGCTCTGCCAACACAGCTCTCCATAATTCCCACGATTTCAGTTCTTGTAACATTTTACTGGCAAAACTTTGAGGTAATACAACTTTACTGTCATTTCTTCTTATTCCCTCTATATAATTTGCAATGTGTATAAAATATGCTTCCATTTTTAAGACCATCAATTAATCGTCCATCTGTACATTGACTTTTGCTCCGTAGATTTTATCACTATTTTACAAGAATAACTTGTTTATATAGACACACCTGGTCTCCAGCGTATATGCATATCAACTAATGTTTCTATGAGACCATAATAAAAGAGTTCCAGCTTTATATATTACTACGCGGTCAGAAATAGTGTCACTATACATCTACCATCAGTGTTCTGTGTAATCATTTTATCAGATATAATTCTCAGTACATCACAACAAACAGATAACACAATACATGTTTATCTGATCAATACGGTATGCTAATATCAAAATGTATCTTAATTGTTGCTTTTTAAGTCTACATTATCAGCATTATTATTTGTATCGAAAAACAACAACAAAACATGTTAAAGGCTTAACAAACGTTTAAATATCAATCTCAGCAATTAGTTTTTAATGTGATCTAGTGCTCTAATTATCTTTTAAGTAAATCTACAATTAACATGAATGTATTTACAACTAATAAATTAATATTAGGTGCCTTTCAGAAAATAAGCCATTATTAAGTATGGAAACTCCTTTGCCAAGAGGCTTAGGTGAATGAAATCGAATCCTTTGACCCGCGCCGCGTTGTGTTCAAATTTCTCCAGAGACTGTGGATCACTCTATGTGATATAACTGAGTTATGGACGTTCAGTGGTTTTACCGATGTTCCCTCGAAACACGTGTTTTAAATTATGAGCGTCTTCATTTCAGCAACGACAATAACCAAAAAATAACAAACAAATGTAATGAACATAAATTTGAACACAAATTGTCAGCATTTCTTTTACACATTTTATTGACAAAACGCTGCATTAATTGTCCGATGAATTTTTTTACCTTTATCATAAAAGAAGAGGCACATCATTTGAACTGGACATCAATTTACATAGAATTACAAAATATTGTATTTTGACACGTTAATTTTGTTTGTTTCAAATTGTGTTACAACTACTGCTTCAGTTTTGACACATGTACATATTGTAAACTGTGACTCAGACAGAAAAGGTTCGAACTGAAATTAAAAACGAATTTGTAAATTTAGCTTAGAATTAAAATGGGTTATGTGAATTCCTTTGTTTAATGCTTATGTTGGTGTGTACGTTTTAACATGAACAATGACAACTATTATACTAATATGACTAAAATGTATGTGTTATGAAAACCTTTCTGTAGAAAATAACAAAATTGTAACATGATTCTGCAGTGGTTTTAAATGTAATATTGAGTAACAACGACAAAATATCTCATAATCTCTATGGTGATGGAATGCTTCATTTCGCTAGCGATTATTCCAGTTACGTAATTCCAATAATGATTCTATCTGGTGAATGTAAAGTACAAAGTAAATATGTCACTTTTACATTATATTTGAATTCATCTAAGACATGAATAGTTTTTGAAACTAATTATCTAAAAGCTTTGTTATGAGCATATTTAAGAAATTTCGAACATAACAATGATCAGCCATAACCTTTTCAGCGCCATTGATGGGGATATATATTTGCCTCACAGTACCACTAATGTTAATTACCAAAAAGATGGGATACCACGGTACTTTAATATGATTTCTTTTGCTGCGACATTTTTATCATATCTTTGTTTTTAATTTCAGGTTATAATACATTATACCATCGTTTTCTATTCATATAATTCCATAAAAGGATTTGAAACGTACGTATTTTATTTTTCTTAATTGTACTTTCTCCTTTATGATACTGCCAAATAGTCATTTATAAGTAAATGTGTACTTCATCAAACATGTTATTTATTTAAACTACTATGCTTTCATTTAGTATGACACGACATCAAAGCGTTGGTATTGAAGTTATTTAAAACGTTGTCTGCAGGACATCCTATTTCAACAAGCAAATTGTTTACGAATAAACATGTGCTGTGAATATTTTTAATTGAACTTAAACATTGCATTAGTTTCAATAATACTTTTGAGGAAAAATGATTACAATGTTATCATATATCATTAATCTACTAAGAAAACTGTCAAATAACATTTGCCTGATATATTTAATGACCTTACAAAATTGATTATAATTGCTATATTGTAAGACTTAAAAGCACATTATGCCTGAGAAAAATGAAGTTTTCACTCTTTAGAAATGTAAAAATGAGTTTTATAGTATTTAAATAATGGTTTTAGAGCATGTTTGTTGGCTTACCCCTTGAAGAAAGAAGCACTGAATGTAACATTATTGGTTAAAAAGGTAGCAACATGTAAACAAAGTAGTATTTTGACTTCCATACAAAATACTAAATCACTATATATGTACTTTATTGTCAAGCTTCAATAGAAGCAAAACAAGGTTCATGTCTTTGACCAATAAGTATCTTTATGTTAACTTTAAAAATGCAATAAATATATATACATATTAAAGCATTTGTGGGTATAAGTAACATTTAATGATATTCGGAGCATTTTAAAGTAAATTGAAAAAATACGCTTAGCCAGTAACGTTTAATTTACGACACGTTAGTCCTTCACATTGTTAATTCTTAATCATCTTCAAAGAAAATAAACAACAAAATACAAAATGAAAACAAAGCCACCATTTGAACTATAATGGATCTAAAAAACAGGAAAAGATCACTTCATTACTAGGCAACGAAAATGCCATTAATTATCGATATAATGAGTTTCGTGATGTTTCGTTCTCGAAGTTTTCACGCAAATTAACATGCTAATATATATTGACGTTATTTGGTCACGTTAATTCAATTCTTTGAAATAAATATCTTCTAATTCAGACCTCAAAAAGTCATAACAACATGTCTTGGACATTATCTCCATTACATTTTCTGCATGATATCTGATAGTTTGTTCACCCATATGTTAAAATTTAGTGTGCTACCGCTGTTTCTTGAAGTGTTCTGTATAAAGATTCCTGATAGTCCATTTGTCAATCTGATAGAATTAAATGTGCTACTATTTTATCCTGAAACTTGATACATGCATTTGCCATAATTTGCGGGTGGTTAATTTGTGAATAGTGCAATTAACTTTTTCGTTTCTATCCACGTCCATTATAGTAAGTCAATAGTTCTACTCAGGTACCTACTTGTGACTGTATACTTTTTTGCAATTTGTATAAATTATCAGTTGTTTAAACATAATTATTTCAATAGAATATATATTATGCACATACACATAATCAACAACCAAAATAATTGTGCCATGTCATGACAAAATCAACATAGTGTGTTTGCGATCAGCATGGATCCAGACCAACCTGCGCATTTCGCCAGTCTGATCAGGATCCATGCTGTTCGCTATCAGTTTCTCTACTTGTAATAGGGTAATAGGGTTTGTAAGCGAACATAATGGATCTTGACCAGACTGCGCGGATGCGCAGGCTGGTCTTGATCCATTGTGGTCGCAAATGCATAACGTTGGTTTTGTCATGGCGCTGCTCATATGTTTAGACAATGGGAAGGTGAGAAAAGAAGACGAGTCTCAAAGAAATTTTCTCTTTAATTTGTCGATTTGCAAATACCATTAGATAAATAAGCGATTATCGGTGGGAATGGACTCTAGCAACAGAATAGAATCAGTAATGATCGAGTCTCATTCAAGCTACTACTATCACAATCTTGGTTTTAAACACTTTTTAATATAAAATATAATGTTATAAAAATAGAATTGCAACATATTTTCATATTTTTCATGAAACTAAATGATAAGCACATGTCTTGTTTGCTAAATACATCAGTTTTGGTTTTGATATATATTGCAGCGTATCATTGTGTAAACATTGTTGTGTGGATCAGTAACTTTCAATACTTCATTTAGAAGTAAATACATATTGTATAAGCTACTATATTCCAGTACCTTCTAGAAGCGTTATATAGTGATATGATCATTCTGTAGAAAATTGAAATTGGTTCCATATTAGTTCATTAGCATTAGCTATTCTAGATCAAACATTATTGAATCTTGGAACGATCACTAATTAATCGTCATTTATAAAATTTGTATATAAATCATTTTGTTTAATTACAAGTCATTGTCCTTTAATGACATGGAAAATCAAGCTTTATTTTGTAAGCATTATATTGTGTTTCCAATTATAAAATACCTTGGGAGATACAGAAATGTTTGTATCGTTAGCAAAATCGGCAATAACTAGAAACACTGACGTTTAACGTTAATTTGTACAAAAACAATCATTGATTGTCACAATTGTTTTATACAATGATATACAATTAGATTCATTTACTCACAAATTGTGAGACTGGCATTAAAACATTTTTAATTGGTATGCTTCAAATTTTAAACGTACAAATATTACAAGTATATCGGAGTAATTAGGTTATGCTAAATGAATTTGTTTTCATTATAATACAAATTATGTATTAATTTTAATCAAATAGAGAAAATTGGAACCCCTAAAGAAAGTCCAAAACGGAAAAATTTAAACTGTTGCAGGTTCGTTTCGATTGAGCCTGTTCATGGACGTTACTGTTAAGTGCAAACTTCCTTCCACGCCCCCTAACACCGGTTTATAAACATTTTAACATAAAATTGCAAAAGTTTGAATGAAGAAACATCTTCAGATGTGTTCATACAGCGGTAAACATGGACTTTCAAAGTCACAATATCCGTGACATTCCGAGAAAATCGGCGTATGGTCCCTAAGTAATAGAATGCGAGTGCCTTAACGAGAAAAACAATGGGCGGAACTAAATAACATGGATTTTTGAAAGGGGATCAGAGGTTATGACGCCTACATCTCACAGATAAAACGTCAAAAGCAAAACTAAAAAGCAGGCAACATATCCTAAGGGTGATATTGGTATCGACAGGATTAATGGAACCACTCAAACCGAAAAAGCCAAATAGTTGAAACTAAAAATTACCACAACTGCAGAAATAATGTCGTGTTGAATTACATTTACGGGTCGGAAATGTAATATCTCTGATTGAAAGGTTCACTATGCCTCAGAAATGTTTAATTCATATTTCTGAAAAGTTTTTTTTTAATTTGACATCTAGAGAAACACAACGGCCAAAAAGCTAAAACATTCTTTGCTTCTGTTGCTTTTGACAATT